ATCGATCGGAGAGTGAAGATCCTCTGTTACGTCATGAAGGTTTTCGCCAAGGTGAGCGGCCTTTAGACGCTTTGACGTTTGATGTTGTTATTATTATTATTATTCTTCTGTATTGCCAACATGTTTCTTTATGTCCTGATACAGATGTGTGACATTGGGGATGCTTCCCGTGGCAGCCTCTCGTCCTACGCCTACACCCTCATGGTGCTGTTCTTCCTCCAGCAGAGAGACCCTCCAGTTATCCCCGTACTGCAAGAGGTACGAACGGGTTTGTTGAAAGGTTAAAGTGTACTAATACTAAAAAGGTAGCCGTAGCTATTTGTTCGCCTAGTTGAGTTGATGTTGACAATATGAAAATGTATTTTTTCAAAGATGGACATTGGGAGGCCACCACACTCTGGGCATTATTGGGTAATCCTCCTGTAATTAATGGGTGTAATCCTGTAATTTGGCCACACTTAATCAACCAAAGAGCTTCTGTTTGCAATTATCAAGATATCACATCAGCTCCGCTATTACTCCATTACGCATGTTGGTTTTGCTTTGTCAAAAAAAGCTTTTACTCAAAGGATTTTCCTGATTTTTGATATTCAAAATCGGCAGCAGATTGTTTTTTTTGTGGGTGATTGATTGTCCTATTGCTAAAAACCTGTAGTGTTATTCCAGATTTATGATGGAAAGAAGAAGCCGGAAGTGCTGGTTGATGGCTGGAACGTGTACTTCTTTGATGATTTAAAAGCACTTGTGAGTAATTCATACTTTTTTTTTTTTATATATATATATATATATATATATATATATATATTATACTCCCACACACACACACATAATAGTTCTGACAGACATTATCGATGCCACATGTCACTCTCTGTGTTCCATATCTTCTGCAGCCCAGTCGCTGGCCTCAGCACGGGAAGAACTCAGAGAGCGTGGGCGAGCTGTGGCTCGGCCTGCTCCGCTTTTACACCGAGGACTTTGACTTCAGAGAGCACGTCATCTGTCTCCGTCAGCACGGCCGCCTCACCACCTTCAACAAGCAGTGGACGTCCAAATACATCGTTATTGAAGGTGAGCTCGTGGGACAACCTCGGGGGTCCAGGCGGATGGACTCCTGTGTTCTCCAGCACAAGCGGGCAAAGTTATAATTTGAGAAAGCTTTCTTGCTGCTGTCCTTCATTCCAATAATTATATTGTTGTTAATGATTAGTGAGATTGTTTACTGAATATATTTTCCCCTTTTCTCTGTCCGTATTCCAGATCCGTTCGACCTGAATCATAATCTGGGTGCTGGTCTGTCCAGGAAAAGTAAGATTTGTCTGTTTGCGTCTTCTGTTGTTTAATATTTGTCTTTTTGCCTTTTCCAATGCATGTTCTTGTTTCAAAACAGTGACCAACTTCATCATGAAGGCTTTCATCAACGGCAGAACCGTGTTTGGCACACCGGTGAAAGCCTTTCCTCCAGTGTACCCTTCACGGATGGTGAGAGAAGTGGCATTAAAACCAATAACCTGAATCAGCTCTCCAAGTCTCTTAACGTCTTTATTCGCCATCACAACTGTCTTTCCTCCACTTAAACCCTAGATTGGAGCTATTAATTGGACCTTTATGGTTTTAAACAGAAAAGTAAATTAGCACTTTTTCTCTACAATCAAAGAACTAGCCATCTGTACCACAAAAGCGCTCAAGCCTTTAGTTTATCCCACAATTTTTTACATTATATTTTAAATCTGCGACTTGAATGATCTCAGCATTGAAGTTGTGATTCGTCTTCGTGCCCCAGGAGTACTTCTTTGATCCTGCAGTCCTCACCGAGGGAGAAGTGGCTCCCAACGACCGCTGCTGCCGCATCTGTGGCAAGATCGGCCACTTCATGAAGGACTGCCCCATGCGTAAGAAGTAGGTACAATCCCAGTGGGTGTGCTCTTATTGTTAGCGGGTGTGGAGCCACGCGTCTGTATCATGCTGCGGATGTCTGTTGACTCAGGTCCAGGCACAGGAGGGACTCTGAGAAAAGGCCGGAGCACCTGCGAGAGGCAGCGGAGGACGGCAGGGACCAGGGCAGACACAAGGCCGAGCACTGGAGGAAAAGGGACGCGGAGGTGCGCTGCTGCTACGTGTGTGGATCCAGTTCCCACATCAAGAGGGACTGTCCGGTGTACCGAAGTCAACCAGGTGCGCCGCCTTTCATTCTGTTCTTCACCTGAAGCCTCTCTAAAGAGAGATTTACTTCTATTCCCCAGTAGAACTGATAGTTTTGCCAAAAAGCTTTCCATTGCTGTCTTTTTCACACAAAGTAAAAGATGCTTGCTGCTCATAAAGTTTAGAAGGAGCAAACTGATTTTTTTTCCCCCCCTTTTTTAACTGGTTATTTTACAGGTAATATGAGGATGGAAGGCTTTGCTTCCACCTCGTCAGCTCACATGAGGAATTTCAGAGAAAAAGAGCGACAGGTACGTTTTTTTTTTATTTATCTCAAATCCTATTTTCCAAGTGTTTTTTTATTTTTTTTTATTGGTTTGCCTACACCTGTTCCTTTTTTCTCAGGTTTCACCTACACGAGAAGAGAAGAACCGAAAGCAACAAAATGTGACATTAGGTCCCCAAGGAGGTACGTCAATTTACATTTGAAGTTCTTGAAGTGTATTCATTTATTATTGCTTGATTATTTCAAATAACTTCCTGGAAAAATAGGAGGCGATTTTAAAATGTGAGGCCACATAGTTTGAATCCAAGTTTCCTATTTGTGCCTCGTCATAGGGATACTAAACAGATCCCATTGTAGGGATGGTGAGGTGAGAGCGAGAAATGTTTCCTTTGGTTTCAGCTGTCTCTCTGGAGTCCGGGTGCAAGGTCGCTCGTGTTTGTGTAGCTGTTTGCTCCTGTTTTTGATATTTTCTATATAATCCAGGAAAGATCTATTCAGTGAGTGATTGTACTTGTAACCTGATATGGTTTCGTACAAATAAAGTAGGAAATTAATGAAGTGCAAGTGTTAGGCATTCAGAGCTTTTTGTTGTTTTGTCATTTATCCATATTTCTTTAACGTCGAGTTCAAAATGTGGTGTTGGAATGAATTTTTGACAATGACATTCTGGTTTTGTTTCAGGAAATCTAGCCTGCCGAAACGTGGGTCGGTCTGGTCACAGGAAGAGTCCAGTGGAATGAGCATCGGCAGCCGAGGCTACGCAAACATGTGGTTCTACTCTTGTCCAGGCAGACAGCGTCCCAAAATCCAGAAACCATTAAGTCTGAATGGGACTGTTGGGCCAACGGGAGCCTGTTTAAAGCCAAAGCCAGGACGCCTTGACTTGAAGCCAAATAGGGCCTTTTTATGTGTGTGTGTGTGTGTGAGAATGTGTGTTTGCCCCCTTTTTAAAGCTCTCCTCACAAGGGCTTTTTACAATTTTCATTTTAACAAGAGAAGGCATTTTTATGCACATCATGTCTTTTGTTTACCTACACTGCCATTCAAGGTCTCTTTTTATTCATTTAAAACAATGGCATTGCAGATTCAGTGTCAAATCTCTATTTAAAAATGCTAGTAATGAGAAGTTTCTCATGTGACGAACGCTTTATAACTCCAGTCTTTTGCAGACCAGTGTTTGCTACTTTTTAATTGAGAAATTAAACCAAGAAGTCTGTTTTCCCGTTATCGGATGTTGTTCAAAAATGTTTGAGTGGCAGTGTACGTGATGGCCAGGAACTTTTTTTTTTTCCTTCTCTTATGTATTTTTTTTAAATTCTTTTTTATTTGTCCTCTACAAAGATGTCCGTTTGTCTTCAGCCTCAAAAGCAGCTCGACCCACAGTCCGTCACTGTGTTTGAGAAACAGGCCTGTAGATCTATATATATTTTTTTCCAGGATTGAGGTTTTCTGTTTTTGAGAAAGCTTATCCTTCCCCACTTACTAAACAACAAGCCCCTCGGCGGCCTGTTGGTTACCAGGACAGTGAGCCCGTAATTCCCTGCATCCGTCCCCACGCACGTTAGGAAGTGCTGGGACAACATCTAGTCGAAAGCAAGAGTTTCATGCTTACTCCGTTTTAACTCGAGACACAAACAATTAATGTACCAGTGTACTCCGCTGCAACACTGTGCTCACCGTCTCCCAAACTAGAGGTTATCTCAGTTCGTTCGGTGAAGAGGTATTTGTATTTATTTGCCACAAAGAAAGCTTAATTCTGTTGTCATGGCGCCACAGACTTTGTAGCTGCACTGTGCGAGGGGACACGCCCTTTGATTACGTCGCTGCTAGTTAACGTTGTCCTAATATGGCTTTTTTGTTTTTTCAAAGAATTGTGTTGACGGTATTGTAATCAAATTTGTCATGTAAAAACTTTATTTCGTCAGACTCAAATGGGAGGTGCAGTTTGTTATAGAGGACCACCGCCTCCACATGCCTCCCACACCCTAATCCGGCCAGGCAAGTTTGGCTTGCAATCCATTTTGTGTCTCAAATAATTAAACAGAAATCAAACCCAAAGTGCAATAAATTCTCATGTTTTTCTTCAGAGCAGTGTTTATTGATGTCAAACAGTGGAGTGGTATATTCCTGTTAAATAAATGCAATGATGAAACTGGAACACGCGGATCAAACGTCAGTGGTTGCAGTATTCAAAGCCTAACTACTAATATTATAGAATTTATAAGAAGCTGTTTTTTTTTTTGTGTATATTTGTTCCACATAGTAAAGTGTGGTCACCTTGTGTTTTGATGCCATCTCTAAAAACCTTTATGCCACAAACACTAGCACAATTAAGTGAACGTTGAGAATTAATCTTTCAAATTTAGACTTGTTTTTCACTGCAAGTAGTTGATTAAGCGGGCGAAATAAAAGATTCTCACTAGTATTTTTTTGGAAGCATAAACGGCCAAGTTCTAGAGCAGGTTACACAACAATGTATGTTCGTGTTTTTATCCAGCAGCCCATTAGCTGACGGGCCCGTACGTCACGAAAACAACCAATCAATGAGCGGGGTTGTTATCGGGGGCGGAAGCTGATTACTTGACGCGCGTGCGCAGTTCAATGTTGTGATTATAAGCGCAGCGATGTCTGCCTCCATGGTGCGGGCGACCGTCCGAGCGGTCAGCAAAAGAAAGATATTATCTACGAGAGCCGCACTGACTCTGGTAAGTCATAAACTTTACTTGTATAACGTCACTTACGTCACCGTGTTTCGGTCTGTTCATACATACTATTAATAGTGTGTCGTTTATCCCCAACGGTGCGTTTAAGTTAAGCTATACGTTAGCTAAGTAGGCTAACTGCCAAGTACACGAAGTACAGTCCTGATTATTTTACGTTTACGGAGCTTTTCTCTAACGCCATTTTGATCGTGGTGAGGAGGTTACATCTGCGTGGGGGGCAACGTAACAATAACCCCCCCCGTGCTGAGCTAACCGATGCTAACGGGACTCCTCCGCCAGGCGCGTTTGTTTTGTAACGCGCGATCCGCTCTTCTGTTCCGTAACAGCGACAAACGGCGAGCAGCGCAACGTGAGCCTCCTTTAACCTTCTGTTCTCCAAACATCCTCACGTTCGCTCCCTTTCCCCCCAGCCAGCCTGGCGTTTACGCCCCGTGTCCCTCAAAGTACGTGACAAACTGCTGGCGTGGAGGTGTCACTTCAGATATGGCCGTTAGTGACATGTTGACATGTGTGGATCACCTCTTCATACTGTTGCTATACGTATTTATTAGTACGTGTTTGCTAAAGATGCATCGGCTAGTTTCACACTAAGAAATTGGGGTTCCTTGTATAACACGAGGACGCTTTTTTTATTCTAAATCAAAAACACAAAGTCATAACGTTCGTGAGGTGAATTTGTCTCTGTGAGGCCTTTTGGTCTCCAGATGTATTTGTTGCATCCCACCCAGACATACAGTCGGTGAGAGGAAAACACGAGGAACAGTAATCGGTGCATTCATGTAAATGCAGTGAGTGACACTCCTCACTAGTAGGATGGGCGGGATTAAAAGAAACCCGTTGAACATTGTGTAAAGATAGTGGGAGCCCTTGGTGGTCCGGGCTGATAAAGCAGTGTGCTGAAGGTGGCTTTCATGTTAAGCAGCGTGAGGTCTGAACGCTGATGCAGCGGCTGTCCCCCCAAAAATAACAATCCAGAGGAATACACACGGACCTACATGTTTTCTTCACCATGAGACTTGTTTGACGGTAAAGTCATGAGACGTCTTCAGTCGGTGACACTTTCAGAATCCTCTTGTCCTGCAGCGTTTGGCATCAGCAGCTCCACACGTACAGACGAACATGCTGGCTTTAAGGGATCAGCACCGAGGCTCATCTCCGTGGGCTCAACGTGAGAACGCCGCGATCCGTCCTGCCTCGTTTACTTTGTGTCCATCCAGATGTTACGCATGCAAATGAACGCTTGCGCAAGCTGTAATATTTTTTCGGGCTTCATTTGATAATTGCAGGCTAAATATGTAGTAGGCAAGTTTTGTTGTGGTCTTTTTAATGTGTTCATTATTACATGCATGTTGTTCTTTAGGATGCAGGGACAAAAACTCTTTGAGCTCATGAAACATATTTTTTGGGGGTTTTGTCGTTGTTGTCATCTTTGACGCTTGAAGGGAATTTCCTCAAATGTGGCACAAGCGTCCATTTGGACTGGAAGTTGACTTGAATGGTTGGCGACAGCGGCGAGGAGTGTAGTTATAAATAGTCTGGATCTGGTCACAACTGTCACCCAGTCACTTGCCTTCTTCGCCTCCATTACATTCCTCCCCCTCATTTGTATTTTGTTGTAGTCCGTTCTGGCACGGTTTCTCTTTTTTTCCCGCATTAGTTGAACGTGTTTAAGGGTAAACGCTGCATCTATTCTGCAGCAGGAGTCACAGTTTCCTTATTCTAAGCCAGAGAAACCTGTAGTAGGTTTCTCTGTTCTCAGGCTTTTCTGCAACAACCTTCCTTGTCAATCCTGTGGGCTTCGTTAACCTTCTGTCTTTTTCTCCAGACTCCAGCAGCTGTGAACAAGATCAGGTTTTTGCTGCAGAACAAGCCAGAATATGTGAGTAACCAGCCAGAGCCACACACACAGTGCATGTGCTCATCTCCCCATTTCTGTGACTTGACCTGTGCAGCGCTACGTGTCCTCCACTTCCTTACTGTGACTTGGGATACATAAACCTAATGACACCTTCTCTGTGGCAGCCACTGAGCGTGGCACTCTAAACCAGTGACACCAAACAGCAGAGATAGAGATGGTGAATGACACCAAACGGTAACATCCTTGCGGCTCTTCTGTAGATCGGTTTGAAGGTCGGGGTGAGAACTCGCGGCTGTAACGGAATGACCTACACCCTGGACTACACCAAGGAGAAAGGGAAGTCTGACGAGGAGGTGCTGCAGGACGGTGAGTCTCGCTTTCGTTGGCACAGAGATGTCGTTGGCGTTTGGGAACACGGGCGGAGTAGTGATGCCTCTGCTTCCGCTCTCCTCGCAGGCGTGAGGGTGTTCATAGAGAAGAAGGCCCAGCTGACCCTGCTGGGCACTGAGATGGACTTTGTGGAGTCAAAGCTGGCCAGCGAATTCATCTTCAACAATCCCAACATCAAGGGCACCTGCGGCTGCGGGGAGAGCTTCAACATCTGAGCATCTCCCCCCCCCCCGACCCGCTGCACCGTGCCATTGTTCCGAACCCCGTCTCATCCATGAAGAGCGAGAGACTGAATAGTAAAGAGGGAGTCGGGCTCCTGAGGCGCGGCGGCGTTTCCTACCAATGCTCTTACTGCAGACCACTTGCACACACACACACAGCTCATGTATGCATACACATGCCTCGAGGAAGGTTTGGAATTGGTTCTGTGTCGTCGAACCTCTCAGCCAGGTGGTTTTAGGTTCAGTTACCTCTGATGATGACAACAATATACGCACAAATTATTTTCAGAAAGTCAAATTTAAGTTGGTAAAGCTTGAATCCATCGGCCCACAGCCAACCTCAGCTGTTTGATAGCACACTGTAAGACAGTGTGCTATCATGACGCCAGCAGTGTGCAACAGTGGAAGAGTTTGTGTCTTGAAACTGCTTTTTTCATTTGTAAACTGTATATTTATCTCAGAGTGTAAATATAAAGAATGTATACCTCCATTGAACCGCGCAAGCGCACAAAAATAACATCCCTCACATAAGACAACACGAGGATTGTTATATTTTCTTTTTTTCTTTTAGTTTGATCAAAGCCAGGATGTTGTTCTCACTCTGCAATATGTCACATATGTACATATGAAATAATAAATGGCTAAATCCAGTAAAACATTGTGGCCGCTGTTTGTAATGATCAGTAGTTTGATGGTAAGATTTGTGCCCCGACGATCGCTACATCACAACTGAAATGAAAAAACTGGTGTTAGAATCTTCATCCCAGTTGTTGTGGTGACGGCTGAGTTGTCGGAACCAGATGGATTCTGGCTCACTGGTCAGCTTGTAACCCAGAAACGTATTTGCTTCTTTTTCCTTTTTTGGCTCAGGCAGAAGCAGAATGAGGTACGGCCATATTGAAAGATTACGTTCAGTCGTCACTGCAACAGGTTTTACTTACTACTGGTGGATCAGGCACTTTGGATTTTTTTTTGTTTCTTTTTAAGGTGAAAAGGTCATGGACAGTCTAAGCAAGGATGGAGATTCAGACAGCGGAGAGTGTTATGGGTTAAAGGTCATTATTTACCATAACATTTTTAATCAGTTGTGTGTCACAATGTGACTGTGTGTGAGGTTGTGCAGATTTAAAATAGTGGTGGAAGTTACGACCTAATTTAAAACTAGTTGTTAAAAGGAACTTTTGGGCTTGCAGAACAACTTATTGAGTAACATCGTTTTAGCAAACAAGAAAACCTACTCCTAAGCTCCTAAATAGTCGTTTGCAGTTTTCTATAGTTTCCCCTTTAAGTTTAAATTGTTGCAATCTGCGATATTGCCTCTAAATACCGCCAAATCCTGCACACTGGCCCTTTGAAAGCCAACCTTGTTGCCTGATGAGAGGTGGTCCAATAAGCTCAGTTTTTCGGTCACCACCAACCAAGGAGAACAGTACTATGCAAGTCCACCATTTCCCTTCCTGGCAGGTTTGGATGAAGGAGTCTGAAGATGACAAATGACTTGTTGTGATGTTGAACTCAAAAAGTTACAATGCTAAAAATCCTAGTTGAGTCGACCTGCAGAGATAATTTACCTTTTGATCCACGTCAAAAGGCTTTGTTTTAGTGTCGTTGGATGAAGTTTGGGTAAAGTATCTGCTCGGCTCACGTGGAAGCTTCAGCCATTTCTCCGGCCACAATAATGCCATGTTTCCCTGAAGCATCATTTCGGCCCGGTGCTTTTATATTACTACGATTTCCTTCTGCCCCTTTAATTCTTAGACGAAACCCAATCTTGTATTCGCCTTCACTTCTTTTAGGAATTTTTCTTCCCGCATTTTTCTGTCGCTAGACATTTAGAAAATATTTGCCATTTCTTTTCCAACTGTGGCTTTTGGAAAACCCCTGTAGTTGAAGGCTAAGATGGAAACACTGCCACTTAGCGGTGGTGCATTGTCAGAGATTGAGTTTACAACGACTTGGCTGATTCGGGCCGCGGGCCTGAGTTTGACACATGTCCCATAGATTTTAGATTTTATTTTGACAGTTTGGATATGAGGTACAGTGTATTTACCAATTTATATTTTAATTTCTTGCAGCAAAGTCACTGAAGAAGGATGTGTTTTGGCGGAATCTTAAATGAATGTGTGAGATTTCCATATAACGTCTCTGCTACTTCGCTCAGATTTCAGATTTATTAAAGACTTTGGACAAGTGGGAAACGCCACCCATGGACCACAGACACATCAGCACCACCTTCTCCACCCTGAGGAACACGGGTGCCGGCACTTCCAGCGCCCTTGGGACCTTCAGATCAAGAGCCGTGCTCCCTGAGAACATCAGCCGGTTGTCCAGTTGTTTGTTTAAAAGGCGGGATCACATGAGAGAGAGCCAAGCGGCCTCGCTACTTGTTCCCTCCCCCATTGTTGCTGGACCCTCCTTAAATCCTGTTATATCCGCAGTCCTGGACGGAAAGGCCAACGTGCTGCCCTCTGAGATGCATCCACACATCCTGGGCGTGCAGGCTTGGACCAAACGGCCGTCCTGTGAAGTGCCGTGGAAGCTGCGCGAACCGCCTCGCTAAACTGGTCACTACGCAATCGGTCACCACACATCACAAAAAACAGAACACTTATTTGCCCTTCTTCCACACAACTAGCAAACCCATGATTAGGAAGACTCTCTTTCACCCATACGGACGACTTTGCCGCTATGCATTCACGTTTTGAAACCAGCCACTTTAGTTCTCTTACACTCTTTGGTTCATTTTCTATTGGTTGCAATATGGAAGCCCACCTCTAGGTGTCTCCCAATCTGACACACGGCACCTTTAACTTTTCTCAACATGTCAAGGTTTTTTCATGAGGTCGTAGTTAACAATTACCACAGTAACAACCACATTATTGCAGAGAAAACTACGTTAACGTATGGGGATCAAATTGTGTTGTGTCATCACTATGTAGAACAAACAAAAGACAAAATCATTTTTTGTAGTTTCACAACAGCTCTTGTGTTAACTCTTGAAATGTTTGATCCTGACACAGTGCCAAACAACACGTGGTTCTTTGAAGATTTGATGGATCTCCAGAGGAAGCTGTTTTTAGGTGCCTCAAAGAAGTCTGGAGTCCTGAGGAACTTTCAGACAGCTCTGAAAACTGCTGACTCATCAGAAGATGCAGAAACAATTAAATCCATAGACACCACCTCAATTCGCTTTGTCTGTTACATGAATGACTAGTAATTCAGGCTTTCCTGTTTCTATAATGCGCCAACTGTGTATTTGAAGTTGTTGCCTGACAGCTGGGTGTGGTTTGAATGTTAAACTAAATTCAACGAACATAACGCATGGAATACATGAGCAACCCTTTATACACAAGACAGCACTCACGGAAAATGTGTTTCACAGAGTAAGAAGGGCTCAGTCACTTCCTATATTAAGTTGTTCAGTAAATAGAATCCAAACAGTTGTGTACCTTTTGATCTGAGAAATCTACGTGGGTTTTTTCTATCTAAAGGTAGAAACCTTCGATAAGGTTATCAGCATTGATAGGTATTTATGGTCTTCTCATCTCAACAAACACAACCGGAAAACGCAAGCGAGCATTTACTCTGTGGGCTTCAGGTGACGGCTCAGGCCACGTGCATTGCTCTGTCCGCCATGAGCATGGACCGTTGCTACGTGACCGTCTGTCCTCTGCCGTCCCTGCGACACCGCGCATGACTGTGTGTCCATCTGGATAGGTACTTATTGAACACACACACACACACACACACACACACACACACACACACACACACACACACACACACACACACACAGAGTTATACACACATTAGCAAATGAGAACAGTGCAAATATGTGCTCCCATCACTTTAGAGGACAATACAACGACGAACATTCATTTATTCCTGGAGACACTAAAAGGACCAAATGTGTAGTCAGAATTATTTCCCCTCATGATGAATAAAAAACAAGACCAATTCCTACCCTGTGATCCGTTAAAAGGAACAAACCCATCAGGAAAAACATGCTTTCACAAGCTGCTGGATCACAATTATCTTTGCCACGTTTTTCTGCTCCGCTGCACTGATTCACTCGGCTTAATGGAAGGAAAAACACTTTGAGCTCCTGGTTTTATCTCATCTTTAACTTCTGATCTCCTGGTTTTAACTGGTTTTTATTTTCTGAGCTCCTCGCTTAAATTATGTAGGAAACGAGCTCTTCCACAGACGTAATTAGAGCATCCAGCATACTTGTGCTGACCAGTTTCAAAATGTAACGGTTTCTTGCCAAAAGCTTTCCTTATTTGGTTATTTAGCCCTCATGTACATGCACAAAACAATACATTCCATTTTCCTCCTAAAACATCCTTCATTTGTCTGTGAATCAATGTGCATTTAAGCAGATGAGCTGTTGATGTTCATGTGTTCAATCAGAGCGAGACTATAACTGGAATAAAACATTTAACAAATCAAGCAACATATGTGTGTTTTTACTTTTTGTTTTGTTTATTTCATTGTAACCCAAACCCTTGTCGCATTTGCACTACAGCTCAACACTTATCCTCCATCACGGCAGAAACACTTAAAGTGTGCACATCCCTGCAGGGCTCATTGATTGATTGGTGATGTGATAGAACAGTCAATGGTTATTACTCCTGCGTTCACCCAACTGTATTTAACATATTGATACTCTTTATATTATCATTTCAATTTCCTTGGATGCATGCAGTTGGTTTAGTACGATGTCAGAAGGAGGTTCCGCGTACGGATGTTCAACGGTTGTTAATTAAAAGCACTGACGTTTTCGTCTCGTGCGCATCAGGTGCGCCAGTTTTTTTGGGTGGGATGACCGCGGAACCAGTCAGGGCGGACCTTAAACGATGTTCACCAATGGAAGTCGTTTATCAGACACCTCGTGTGCCTCCAGCCAATGGGAGTCCTGTTTGGCACTTTAGAATTCTCGTGTTGCCTTCAGGTAACACAGAAAAGAATTGTATTTCCACATGCGTGAAAGAAAAAGAAAATAACACTGCAATATGTGACGACAAGATATACTCACATAGTACTGTGCTTTTTAAAATTTAAATCGAAGCATCTATAACATGGATTGAACTGTTTAGTTTAAATAGCTTTATCGCGTACAGCAAATGAGACAGAGACGGACAGAAGATTAACTGGTGGCCTTTGTGAGTTGAGTTCACAGGTTTACGAGGGGGACATGAACGCAACACTTCACACATCGCTGGCTAATTTGCATCCACGCCGACGAGCTGCGCAGGAGAGACAAGGGGGCGTGAGAATCCGCCACATCGCAGGACCGAACAAGAACAAACGTCCACCGGGAATCTTACTCAACTAATTTGATCCATCATGGAGCAGAAACAAACCATCAACTTTGGCGCTGGACCTGCAAAGCTCCCGCAATCCGTAAGTTTAGAGCCGCATGTCGCTTGTGTAATGTTCACATTGTGAAGGAGGAGATTCAAGCCAACTTGTTACTTAATGCAACGTTCGCAACTCGTCTTTTTGCACACACGTGCACGGGCATCCCGCGCGGCCCTACGTCGTAACGACGGAGACGTGCACGCGGCAGGTCGAGCGCCTCCCGGCGTCTGCAAACTGCGCGACGAGTTGCATCATCCGTTCGCAGCCGCCTGTGGATGGAGTGAGAGACCAACCCCAATCACTTCCTCTGCTGTCACCTGTGTGTTTGAGAGGATGGATGCACATGTGTACTTTTTTGAGGTTGTGTAGGTCCCAATAAACATCTGGACAGTGGGGTTGTACCGCCAGATGTTAAGGAACTATCTCCGATCATATCCCATAGCACACGGTATATAACGGTTATTATGACCGGGCCGGGAACCTCAGCTATCACAATGTTTTCAACTTTTTATTATACTATACTACTACCATAATACTACTTATTATATATAATACTACTTATTATACTTTTGATATATGCTTGCTAATTTTTTTTTAGTTGTTTTGTTCTGATTTGTGTGTTCAGTACTGCAATGGGCCACTGTTTCTAATCTCGACACACATTCAAATCTGCTTGTGTGATTGTACAGAAGTCTATGAGCAAATAGATTTATTCCCTCAGTAAACATAAATTGATGGTCTCAATCTCTAGTTTCACGTTTTCCTCAATACAGCATGATGTAAATAATGGTGCATTTAGAGCATCGGTCCACAAACCAATGGCTGATGTCATGATGAATATGTGCACTCTTTCATCATAATGCTTTGGGGGCAGTGGCTTTGGAGGGAGGCCTGAAGGGGCGGCAGTCAGTGTGTTGCTGATTTGGCAACTTTTTTTTGCCAGATTTAGCACATTTTGAAGTTACTGTTGCTAGCTGGGTTTATTGGAAAAGAGTTGGCAACACTTTTTTTCCCCCAAGTGGATCATTTAAAAAAAATCCTATTCACTCCAGGAGGTTTCTAAGATCACCGACCCTGTCCTTTTAACATGTGGTTTACATTTCAGGTGCTGCTTCAAGCACAGAAGGAGCTCCTCAGCTACAACGGCATCGGTGTTAGTGTTCTCGGTGAGTGGGACTGTGTGCTGACTCGCATCCTGAGGCAAAACTGCTGCGTTACTCAGTCAGTCCACTATGTGACAGATCTAAACTAATCCATGAATACGCTCACAACGTTTCACTCCTTACAACAGCAGTCAGCAGCCCATATAAACACTGGAACTCTGTAATATTCACTCTGTGATCTTACTTTGCATCCCTTCATGATGGGCTTTCAGTTTCGGTTCTTTCTTCATTCTGACAGTGTAAAATGGAAAAATGTAATAATTATCAACAACGTTGAGATTAGCATTTTCTGATTCTGTTCCAACCAGAGATGAGTCACCGATCAGCGGACTTCAACAAGATCCTCGACAAAACGGAAGGTCTCATGAGAGAGTTGCTGTAAGTGCTGCTTTTGTTGTTTCCTCCCCTCCCCTCCTCTTCTGTCCTTTTCCTTGTCCTCCTCCTCTCCTCTGTTCTCCCTGCGCAGCTCCATTGTGATGCTTTCATGACCATTGGAAACTTGTATGAATGCATCATTTTCTTTGCCAAACTAAAACAAGGATTACTTGGAAATGTAAGATGATGACAATAATTGCGTTGCCATAATTAACGGTTGCATGCACATTCTCTGGTGCGTTCATGTTTGTGCGTATAAAGTCCTCTTTAGCAAGAGTTGAACTTTGCTCTGGTCTTTACCATTTGTCCATTTGACTGTGGAGCCTCGTGTGGTATGAGATCACACATATGCCAGGAGACAAAACTCTCTGTCCATCCCTGCAAACGTTGTCGGGAAGCTGCCTTTGGTAAATTAATCATTTTTCTCTTGCTAAAATTGCACATATTTTAAAGGAAATTTAAAAAGATCTGTTAAATCACTGAGTCTGGCCTGCTGATGAAAGTACTATAGTCAAATTTGTTGTGATTGAAACTGGATGGAGATGTTCCCTGTGATTTATTTTGTTTTTTTATATATATATATATATATATATATAAATAAGGTGATATGAGTGTCCGACAGCGTTTAACACAGACCTTTTTCTTCTTAACACAGGAACATCCCTGAAAACTACAAGGTGATGTTCTTGCAGGGCGGCGGGTCGGGACAGTTCAGCGCCGTTCCCCTCAACCTGATCGGCCTCAAAGAGGACAGATGTGCCGATTACGTGGTGACCGGCACGTGGTCAGAAAAGGCCGCGAAGGAGGCCGGGAAGTACGGCAAAGTCAACATTGTCCACCCCAAGCTGGATAGTTACACGAGTAAGTCGGTGTGCATTGTGACATTTCTTTTAGATTTGGCATGAACTACAGACTGAGAGGACGTAGTCATTGTGACGTCACCCAATGGTCCGTGGCCGTCCGCTTTGAGGCTTTGAGTTTGCTGATTTCACCGTCGCGTCTTGGATAACAGCCGCTGCCATGTTTTTTTTTTTTCATATTTGGAATGCCAAGTTGTAACGTAGAGACGCCGTATACTTCTCTGCCAACGAAAGCGCCCTGTCAATCACAGTAACCCCGCCCTAAAGCATACTCTGCTAAATGGACAATCATTTAATAAATGAACATCATGCTATATTGGACATGACATGAAACTAGAGATTGAGACTATAAACTGTTCTTTTTGGAGTCGCCCCCTAATGGCCATTAGAGAGTGTAGTTTCTATCATACTGCTGGATCGTCCTTTTACTTTTATTACGATAATTTCACACACGAGCCATACAGCCGTTTGGTAGTAATTCTGTTTTTGCTTCATTACGCTTTAACTGTCCTTTTGCATCATTATCTGCAACCACTTCTCCTACTCATGGCCTTGAGGGACTGATCCAAACCTGACTGACTGTCCTTAAGGTAGCCGGGCATCCGCAGGGCTGACGCACAACAGACAAACAACCCTTCACGCTCTCATTTACTGCTACGATCAATTTAGAGTTCTCAATTCATCTAAGCTGCAATTGAATCCCCATAAGTGGCTGTGTGCCCGGGCTGCTCCACAACAACCACAGAGACGCTGGTATGCGAGCAGCCTTTTCCGCATGGTTGTGTCCGACTGGAACTCTTTTGTTTGAGTTTTTGTTTGTCAGAGCGTATGGAGGCAGTTTCACAGTGTAAATGTATATTCTTCAGGCTGCCTTCGCCAGAAAGGGGAATCCGTCATTTTTCTGAGCATTTGGCCCTGCAAATAAAAAGTCTACTTCCACATCTGTTTCTTTGCCACTTGTGCCAAATGTTCACTGTGGGGGAAAATAAAATGCTGAAAGGACAAGATCCAGAAGGAGAGCAGCAGGAATGTTCTTGGTCCTCCCATTTACGTTTTAACAAGTCAATGGCTTGATTTAAAGGCAGTGGTTTCGCTGTCTTCTGTCGTTGTGCCCTCCAGAAATCCCCGACCCCAGCAGCTGGACCTTGAACCCCTCGGCCTCCTACGTGTACTACTGCTGCAACGAGACGGTCCACGGCGTGGAGTACAACTTCAGACCGGAAACCAACGGGGTGGTCCTCGTCAGCGACATGTCCTCCAACTTCCTGTCCCGACCTGTGGATGTGTCAAAGGTGAGGACTGGTTTGATACTGAATAAAATCTTCTGTTGTTGGATCCTTGACCCCCAAAGTTTCATATGGATTGCGTCAGGAAATCTGCTCTGAGGAGTGGGGGATCTTTTAAAATACGTGTATAAATGGTTGGAGTTCTGTGTGCTCTTGTCTAGTTCGGGCTGATTTTTGCCGGCGCTCAGAAGAACGTCGGCTGCGCCGGGGTAACCGTTGTCATCGTGCGAGAGGACTTGCTGGGGCACGCTCTGAAGGAGTGTCCCATTGTTCTGGACTACAAGGTGCAGGCTGCAATGAACTCCCTCTACAACACGCCGCCATGTTTCAGGTACAACCTGGTGGCATTTTTACATTTTTCAAGATGTACCCAGAGGTTAGCTTAGCTTGACGTAGAAACAGGAAACGGATGAAACAGCTGGCTTTGCTCTTACGTCATCTGCACCTTTTTATAAATCCAACAAATACTGTACTTCAACATTTATGTTTCCTGGTGGATAATTTACTTGACAGTGCTGCAGGAATGAGTCGTAACACCAGGTGATTTTGCTCTTTTGGTTCCTCTCATAGGGAAGTTACCGCTCTAGGCTTTATTGTATGCTAAGCTAAACAGCTGCTGCTTTATATGTAGCATGATCATTTATCTTTTAACTCTGGGTAAATATTTAGCACGTCCGTTTTTTCTTTACCCAATATATTGAAATGTTGCTCTAAGGATTTTCCAAAACGATTGTTGCGGTATGCAGAATGATTGTTGAACTGAATTCTGTTGGTTCAGCATCTACATCATGGGTCTGGTTCTGGAGTGGATTAAGAACAACGGCGGCAGCGCTGCCATGGAGACGCTCAACAAGCAGAAGTCGTCTATGATCTATGACATCATCAACGCCTCCAATGGTTTCTATGAGTAAGTATCTCCAAACTCCAGCCGCTGATTTTCAAATAGGTAATTCAGTGAAGTTTAAAACCTTTGTGGGGAAAGTCCACTACCTCCAACATGTGCTCCCCAACACCCGGTCGTAAAGGTGACCCGACGATTATCTGCAGTATCAGTAAGGGTCAGAAGTAACGCTTCTATCATCGCAACGTTAGAAATGAAGGAGGGGGATCTCAGCGGAAATAAAGTTGCGTTGCCCTCTGCGCTCTGTCGCTTTGTAAATGTTCACAACATAAATGTTTGCGCTAGTTGCTGCAGGGAAGGTGACACAGGAGAGGGTGAGTGTCAAGGAGCAGTTTGTGGTTAAAGGCCTGCAGCCCTTCTCGACACTGGATTCAAAGGGATTGAGGAAGCAACTAATAAGTCCGTGTATATAAGTTGTTATGACGTATAGTTATTTATGAGGGCAGCAGCTGTGTGGGTTATTTTAAAGCTGCTCTGCCACTCCAGCCAACACACCGTAACAATAATAGTTACTTTACTCTGAACTCCAAATACACTCCTCAATGTAGGAATGATCTCAAATTTACGTTTGTTGTTGGCAATAACATAATGAACAATAATGAGTTATTTAAACATTTTTTGCTGTTCAAGAATATTTAGCAATGTTGATCGGTTTGTTCTATTGTCTTTATCTCACAAAATAATCAATATAAAACCACTAGACCTGTAAAATGATACACATCCCTACTTAAATTGTGTTTATAAGTCTCCTCCAAATAACCAAAGGGTGAATAACTAGATGAAGGCTTGATATTGTGTATAAAGACGGCAACAGTGAAGAACCCTGGATGAGTCACGTAGGGAAGACCTTAACTCGAACTACGTACTTCTGTGTCAACCCGTCCAGGTGTCCCGTAGACGTGACTTGTCGTAGCCGCATGAACGTACCGTTCCGCGTGGGGAAGAAGGAGGGAGACGAGGCCTTGGAGAAGGAGTTTCTGGCTGGCGCATCCAAACGTGGAATGATATCGCTGAAAGGACACCGGTTGGTCAAACCTACATGCACACTTTCTTTATTGCTGTATTAAATGGTCACTAGAGAGAATACTGCATCCTGACGTTTAACGCAGGTATGATTAGTCTGACATGAACACCAGCATTCACTGCACAATGGATGCCCTTGCTTGCAGTGTTTGGTAAGAGCTTTGTGCACCTCAAAGTAGCGCTCCGTCTCCCCCTGCAGGTCAACTGGAGGAATTCGTGCATCTCTGTACAACGCTGTAACGGTGGAGGACACTGAAGCCCTGGCCGGCTTTATGAAAGAATTCATGAAGGAGCACCAATAAGATGGCCACTCACACTTCTGCATTTCATCCATCTGCGAGCGGCACCTTTAGAAGCATGTTTTGTAAAATCCCTCTTTTGTCCTTTTATTTAGGAGCTTTAACCACTACTCTTACCAATATTGTCTTAAGTAAATCTGTGTCATAGAAGTACTATCTTAATGTTGACTAGCAGTGTTTTAATATACATACTGTACGTATTGCTAGTTTGCTTAAAATATGTTCAAATTCCATTAAATCTGACTTTGCATTATCTACATGTCTCAGCGTAATTTATTTTCTTCAGTGTCGTTTTGGCCGCATTTTCTGGTAATCCAAGATGGATCAATATTCATCAAGATCTCCCTTCTTAGATAAGAGAGGAAGTTACCTAATCAAGTTATGTTGGCCTGTTTTCCTTTTAATAATCACATTACAAGTATTACAAGCAAATTTAGTAATATCCACTTGTCTCTAATAATTAGGATTCTCAACTACCAATTAATGCAAATGCTGAGCCTTAAATCAGTTCAAGACATAATCTTTTTAATCCATTTAAGGCCTTTATATAAATGAACTATATCACCAGACAACTGACTTTGAAGGCACTCTGGGCCTAAATAACCTGTTTTGTCTGAGTTTAACAAGGTTGCCGGTTTTGATGTCCCCAGGACATTCTTGAATTATAATGGTCTAGTGTGTTTTCATCAGACACAATTGAGTATTGTCTGCATAACAATAAAAGCGTGTGCTGTGCATCCTGATGACGTTGCCCAAAAGAAGCATTTAAAGTGTAAATAAAATCGGTCCAAGCACAGAACCTTGTGAAACTCCGTAACCAACATTCATGGTCATTGAGGTTTCACATAGTCAAAAGCTTTTACGGGAGAGATGTTGGATAAATCCATTATCCATTCCATTATGAGAATATTCTGGCCACTTCTTCTCCATGTGTTAGTATGTATGAACAAACTCTTTGGTTAATAGAGATGTTTGATTTACAGACTTACAGATGTAAGTGGCAGATTTCTGGATCAGAGTCGGAGAGAAAACTTAATTTAGATTGGACAGCCTTCAAATACATTGTAAAGACATATTGAAGACACGGGTAAAAACATTGATAATCTGATAAATGTTCCCCACTTTATTACTTTCATTAAAACTTTTTATTTCGTAGTACAAGTTTTCGGAAAATGAATAATGATGTATGTAAATAGTTCATCATCTACTGCCAACATTTGGTGATCTTAAGAGAAATCTACTGACTCAAATAGACAAAGTAGTAAAATAACCATCTAAATGTATATTTAGGATTTCCTCTGCACAAGTCTGAAGGGAGACATATGGAGACAAAAGCTGTTGAAACGGAAGTCTGTGACCTTTATCAGTTCATTGAGTCCATTAAAAAGTGACATTTATCCAGCAGTAATCTTCCTCATGCACATTATTCATCATAATATGTGCCAATTTGCAGTCTAATGAGACTAATTATGCTCGTGAGCAATTCTGCGTAAGTTGTGTGACATTGATGTTTGGATGAGGCTACTAAGGATAGAAACAGATTTAATGTAGGTGTGTTGTGTCATGGTTTGAATTAAATGAATAAAAACAGGGTTGATTTGAACATGTTAAACAAGTTCCCATGTTTTCATGTGCTCATGTTGCTGCTTGAAGGCAGTTATCAGTGAGTTATAAATATTAGCATTATACGCATGTCCTTATTTGTTGTATCTATTTCTATAGACATTTATCTGAATCGTAATTAGATTTAAACATGATAAAACCCTGGTTATAAAGTGTATTCTCACAGTGCCCAAATAAAACCCAAATATATAATTACATCCTATGGATACGTGTGATGAAATGAAACTTTGCATCCCATAATTATGATTTAGTAATCTCATACAATATACTAATTATGATTACGGTTGCTAGGTTATTGTTTCGAGAAAGTTTCTCATCTTTATTTTTTCATCCCAGTGGTGGAAATGGGCTTTTCATATTCCCAACAGTAAAAGAGTGAGAAAAAACAGGACTTGGAAAAATCAATTAATCCAACACGACAGGAATAAAGACAAAACAGAAGTCAAACCAACGAAATGATCAAAGAATCAACGAAAGCTCAATTAAAATAAAGATACACTCTTAAAAAAGGAACAGGGATCAACAAAAAAAGAAACAACTTGACCACTGACTCCTGAGCTTTAAGAGGCCACCATATTTCAATTCTCAAACACAAGCTAGAACAGTAGTGCAGCCACGAAGATGTTTTTCCTTCAAATAACCACAAGGTGGAAGTGTTAATCCACAAACGTTGTTTGGACGCCTTGGAGCGGATCAACTGACTCATCTCTGAGGGATTCAGAGTCAGACTCTATTGGCATTAAATGTTGATCAAATCATGTTTCCACCGCATGTCGATAGTTGTTAATTACAATAATAGGGTTGTTCCAGTATAGATAATGTGGTAATTGATGCACATGAAGAATAAAGAGAAGACGTAGTGAAACAAGTGATTGCTGATTACTGACAGAGGCACACAGCTGTACGTTTGATGCGTTCACAGGAACCAGCATCTCCTGCTGCAGACTAGTGTGAGCGGTGTAGCATGCGGCAGACAGGCTGTCATTAGAACATCAGCTGCACCGCTTCTCTGTCATGTTTTATAAATCTATCGCTGCATGAATGGTTGGATGGTACAACAAGTGGGAATTGAACTACCGACCTTGCAACCTCTGGCAACGCTTTCAGGCTTAGTGTGAGTGTATTATGTCGCTGCCTACTTCAATATAAGCAAGATCCTTTAAGTGATGTTTCCCATTAAGTTTGATTCAATAAACCTCTTGAAACCCATCGAGGAGGCAGGTGATCGTGAAGTGTCGCCTTTGAAACAATCTTTTTGAGCCCCCGCCCCAAAAAAACCTACTGGCTATTTTCTTACTTTCATTTCGAAATGTAATGAAACATAAAGTTAAGTTGATCCAAGAGTTATTATTTTATATAACATCCCAGGTGATTCTTCCCAAAAAGTAATTTTGACAGTTAGCAAATATCAATACCAAGAACAGGGGAGAAAGTATGAATGCTGGTGTTGACTGTGGATCCCTGGAGCGGGAGATGTTGAGCCTGCTAAGAAGGTGCGCGTGTGTGTGTGTGCGTGTGTGCGTGTGTGTGTGTGTGCTGAAATGTAAAAAAAAGGTTCTGCCTGACTGAAGTATTGCTTTAAGCCAGATGAGTTCTCTGTCAGTACAATAAGAGAACTTGAAGGAGCAACCTTCAGCGGTCGCATTCTATACTTGAGCATTACGCGGTGGCTCATCTTCAGTGTGCCAAGACCCTGTGCATATTTAGCAACCCTATCTCTACAGATACTATTTTAGCTTTCAGCTCAGATTCTATTTTATCCAACGTCTGCTAATACACTTCATACCCATGGTGTCTCAAAACATAGATATATACGCCGTCTACTTTATTTTGTTGAAGTTTTGATTCTGTGTTTGGGTGGAAATTTTGTGCAACTTGAATGCGGCACGTTGCTCCACTCATGACGGCTAAGGAGCGGCTTCTCCTTCACAGCACCTGAAATATAAACCACATATTAAAATGACAGGGTTGGTCATCTTAAGAGACTACCTGGAGTGCACAGGATTTTTTTTTTAATTATCCACTGGAAAAAAATAAAAACACAGCCCGAATTGCCAACTCTTTCCCAATCAAAGCGGCTAGCAACAATAGCTTCAAATGTTGCCAAATCAGCAGAACACGCTCCCTTTAGGCCTCCCTTCAAAGCCACTGCCCCCAAACTATCACCATAGTAACCATTGACTGACTATATACAAGGAGTGCACGTATTCATCATGACATCAGCCACTGGTTTGTGAAATGATGTTTTGAAGCCTCAAGTTGGCAAATTGTTTTTTCTTTTTTCAAGTTATTAACAATATTTGAAATGCAGAGGAGTGGCGTAGAGATGCCAGATACGTCTCCAGTGGCAGCAATCTGTCAATCACAGTAAGCCCCCCCCTAAAGCATACCCGGCATAAAGGTCTAAGACCATAAACTCATGTTTACAATGTTTACTGAGGGAATGCATCCAGAGAGTGGAATCATTTTCGTGTTCCCATGATGGACAGGAAGAATGTTCACAGCACACAAACTTGCATTTGTGTTTCAGACAATAAGTCCTTTATCAGTGCAATCCCAAAGTGGTTTCCTTTGGGCGTAGTCACTCTAGTCACATGTCAGATGAGTGTAAACAAGATCCACCATGTTCAGCACACAAAACCAATCAGGCGGTACATAACTTTTTTTTAAATGGACCCACTACCAGATTATGCAATCCACTTCGTGTCTGTGTGCGTCTGTGAGTGTGCAGCCCTGTGTGCGTCTCCAGCACATTCTCGCTTTCTACTGCTGTAAACTGCATAATATATTTTGCCGCCCAGTCATAGCCGTACAATTATAGACTTCTTATGGCTCTATCAAAATCACAGCTGTGGAGTTCTGAACTTATCAAGGACCACTACTGTTACCCTCGGCCCTTTTGAGACGAGAGGTCGTAAAAAGTGAAATAAAGTATGAATAGTATATTATTATTTCGCGAAACAGAGAAGTCAGGGCGGCACGGTGGTTAGCACTGGGTTCCACTCCGCCCAGTGGCCTTTCTGTGTGGAGTCTGCATGTTCTCCCCGTGTCTGCATGGGTTCTCTCCGGGTTCTCCGGCTTCCTCCCACAGTTCTCCCACAGGGGCGTGTTCCTGGTGGTGCTGTTGTTAGTGATTGGCTGCACATTCAAGCTCAGCTCCTCCCTCGTGAATTCCTTTCTGCTCTTTAAAGCTTCATCATGTAACCATAACATGGCCTGCATAATAACATCAGATTTCATCACATCTTAACCATTGTGTTTGACTCCGTTCTAAATGGTTCAAAAATCACAACGTTTGCCTCGCAGGGCTGTGGAACATCCTTTGCTCATTCACTACTTTTGGGACAAATCCATAAAGGATGGCAACTAGCATCCGTCCCCAGGTTTTGTGTGCAGTAGTTATGACTTAAATGACTATTAATTGTGTTTGACTCATATAGATTATTTCATCTAACATGCTAATGTAATAACTAATAATAAAATAATGACGCACAAACTATAACTAAACATTACTACATGTACTTTCTACCACTAGGTGTGCTCTACTGCTTAAACACAACCCGCTAGCAGAGACACAGCGGTCACCGATAACCTTCATGCCTCTTTCTCATCACAGCTAACAGAACCACAAA